ATGAAATCGGACGAAGTAATCTTTCATCATTTTATATCGCATATTACCTATTCTGTGGGGAACGCTGGCTGGATGGAAAGTGGCTCAATCTTGTTTGGAGACATTGCTCTTCTCCCTTACTAAACTAGGATAATTAAAAATATCCTAGTGGCGATTAATTAATCTGTTTCTCAATTAATCTGCCATTGATTTTAAGTCTTATTTAGATTTATACATACATATTTATATATATGACTTTTGAATTCGTCAATAATTTCTATTAAGTTCTATTTTCATAACGAATCTCATGAAATGCAAACGTTTATTAATAAGAATTTGCTAAAATTTTATTTTTACAAAATTTTATAATTCCATTCGATAGTCTTTGTGGTTATTTATTTTGCAGATTTTTCCATAATTTTTTTAATGCTGTTTTTTAATATATTTTTTAATATAAAGAGATTCATCTTCATAAATTTTATAATATCGCACTTTAAAATGTACTCGTTTTTTGTAACTGATAAAAAATCGCCGGGATAATTTGAAATAAACATATTTCCAAAAAATCATACTATTACTACTCTTTCTTATTCGATGCAAAAAAGTGCGTTGTAAAGTCGACTGTCGATTGACTTATCCCATTTTTTTTAAAAAGATAGTATGAGTTGATTACCTATGAAATTTAATAGTTTATCCAGCTATAACTTTGATTGATTTAAATTTTATCGTATTTGTTAAAACGAGTATTATTCAAAAAATTTTGTAATTTCTTTTAAAAAATTTGAATAAATTTTAAAATTTGGATTTGCTGCTTTATCAAATAATTCAAGAATAATTCAACTGATTATTTTCCGAAAAAGATTTGATATTCCAATAGTGCCATAGGTGGCATACTTCAAGGTTCATGGTTTCATGCAATTGTTTGATGCTTGCGTCATAAGTTGAGTTTAAACATAAACACATGAGTTTAAACATTCATTCATAAATTATTTATCTATTTTGCATAAAAAGAATATTTTTTTAAATATTTAAGTAATCGATGGATGTAAATGAATCACATAAAATATTGAATAATAAAATACAAGTGAGACGCTAAAATTTCGTCAAAAAGGCCTATTAAAAGGCCTTTTACATTTGGAGATTCATATTCGATTGAAATGGAAATAGAATGGCTCAGTGGTTTGTTGCTCGATTGGGAGCGCCGATGCTGAGGTTCTATTCCCCACAGGAGTAAACCTATACAAAAATCCGGGTGATGCTGGCAATGTGATAAGCCAGTGGAGCGAATCTAACCGGTAATGGTGAGGAGTCTTTAAAAAAATTCGAATGAATGGGTTCATCGCAGTTTGCGTTATTTATCAAGGATAGCCGAAAAAATCAAAAATTAAAATGTTATATGTGTGTTCTATTTTTGGTTTGAATTTCTGCTTTCTCTTAGTGATATTTATCGTTGCTTTTCGCCATTTTTCGCCGTTGGTCGATAATGATATTTTAGATGTGCAATACATTTGCAATATTTTTTTCAATCTTTACTCTAAACATTCTTTGGTTAACTAGTGAAGCTTCACCGATGGCAAAACATGAACCACGCAGTTCTTCGTCAGTCTATCTGAGAAGACCAAAAGAAAATCAAAAAAGAATTTTGAGTTAGTTTTCATGGACTGTTTCAATCGACCTTAAATTTTTCACGAATATTCTCCAAAAAATTAATTTTTTAAGCAAATGCTGATTTAAGCCGTTAATGTTATCGATTCTTTTGAAAATCATAGCAATATGATTTTGCAAGGTTTTTTTTTCGTCCTACCAATTAATTTTAGACTAAAAAAGTTATAAAAGCAAATTTTGATTGTCACATTGCCTAAAGCCAAAATGAAAAAAGTCAAAAAAGTATCTGATTCAGGTCTACAACTTTGTTGCACAAATTAGAATTAGAATTGTTTTAGGACTTTACCATTATGATAATTTAACGGATTGTCGAGAAGCTTGTTTGGATCCTTGCGAAAGAACCTTTGTAATACGCAACGATCTGGAGGAGAAACAACAATATACCTGCAGAAATAGAAAGCCTCCATCAGCCTCGCCCTTTACTAACTTGTATAATACAAGGACTTTAACAATTGTTATCATTATTTCTCTTGTAAGTAAATAAGAATTTCCATTTTTAGATTACTTTACTTCTTTCTGCAGCGCGCATTATTTTTGGTTCTCCACTAATTACTGTTTCGCTGGAACCCCGTTTCGCCAACGTGTTATGGAGGTTGATTTAAGTGGAGGTAGGTACCATGAAAAAGATGGTATGCTACAAAAACTATTGACCAGCAGTGCAGTATTTTAAAGCTTTTAATTAAAATTTTAAAACATTTATTAAATTCTCATTTATTTTTTTAATCGCATAAAATAATCATCCAAAGTGATTTATTGTCCATTCGAATAAGAACATAAACTCGAATTAGTTCTCATGAGGCTCTAAATTGCCATGGACTCTGAAGGACTCTAAACGCCAGTTTGATGGTCACTGGTTTAAGCAATACACCAAAAATGGTTTATAGCTACTAAGATTTCTATGTTGAACTTGCTTATTAACTCTTAATTAAATAGTCATAAGTAGTTAAATCTATATCCTTTTTCTTTTCTTTATTCTGAATTTCTGCATCAATTATTTTATCTCAAATCTACAAGAATAAAAAAGGAATCTCTAATTTCTGAATCTTTCTAAATCTTTTAATTGCCAATTTATTATAAGCGCTTTTTATTTTTTTGATCACAAATATAAAACATATGAACGATGCTATCAAATGAAATGAACTTTAGGTTATTCTCTTCTTCCTAGCACTATTGTGTTGTTGCTGTTATGGATATTGTCGCTGTGGATGTTGTAGATCACCATATACTCTTCGAACTTCAAATGACTTATTGGTAAATGACGACATAAAAAATTCACTTGACTCGAAAGATATTGGTTACTTGAAACGAGAAGCAATTCAAAAAATCATTACGGTTTAATGATAATTCAAATCTTATTAAATTGCTAATTTTTTATGCTTTTAATTAACTTTCTCATTGCTTTGGTGCATCTTCAATTCATATGAACCAATGATATGAAAAATTTATGAACGATTTGATGTTTGCCGTAAGCGAGCACCACTCTTTCCAACAAAGATTTTCGATTTTTCTAGAATTATAGCACTTCATTTTTTTGCCAGAAATTCAGGAATATTTTTTAGAGGGACATGTTGCAGCAACTTGCTTATTTGCTTTTGCTGAATTGTTCTTTAATTGTTCAAATTGTTAAACTAATATAAGATAACTGATATTTAGCTAAGATAATTAATTATAATCAATTAATTATAATCAATTTATCAAACTTTGAGCGCTTCTGGAAATTTTTAAAAAATTCGGAAATTTTGAATTTTGAAGAAAATTAATCTTGAAATAAAATCTCACAGTTCTTCTAAAATTTTGTTATGATTGATTGCGTCGAAATATCATATAATCAAAAATTTTTGTATTTTTATAGTCGCCAATTTCAGGCAGATTGCTTTATTAGACTGATTGTCTTCAAAGAATTATTCTACATTACTTAATATTACTTAATGTAGAATAGTTGTATGAAGTTTCTTTAAAATGACTTGAAACAGATTTCCCACTAAAGCCGCTAAAGCTTTTTTCTTCCACTTATCATTGTAGTCTGCTTCTAATAACACATAATATATGTTTTTTACTTTATTATTCCGACGACTACTATTAGCAGTTATTAAGCGGGGATCCAGATGATTCAAAGAATACGGAGATGCACCATTTCATTTCAAATGACAGGCACATTCCCCTCAAGAATCGAGTTTACGATGTTTTCAACATAGTCGAAGCAACACACCACCTCTTTATTTACCATTCTCAACATCGTTGTATAGGATGCCTAAAATACAATTTTAGTTTAAACATTTCTGTTTGTTTTCTGTTTTGTTTAATCTACCTGATGGCGTGCTATATTTTCGCTACACTATATGCAGAGATTAAGCATTCTAAATGCTCAACTTTTTTCTAATTAAATTTCGATCTCTACAATTTTTCCTTGAAAAATCTTTCGCTTTTGCTTTTTTCTCATTTATAGAGGATTTTTCAAGTTATTTATTTCCATTTCACTGTATATATGTATGCTTATGTGTTAAAATAATTTTAAACAAAAGGAGTCCAAGAAAGAATTAACAAAGAATATTTGTATTCGGCAATAATTTGAGGCTGAAAGCATTTGGATGCTTTAGCTTAGATGAGATTTTGTTTAAAAGATGGAAAGCTTTCTGGTTGTAACCTATTTTACAATTTAAATAATTATTTGAAGCAACTAAAATATAAAAACATGTTGAAAATAATAATACTTAATAATAATAATAATACTTATTTAAAATACATAATTATAATATTCAAATTGCAAAAAATCCATTTTGTCAATTGCAAAATTTAAAGAATTAAGAAAATTTTAATTTTCAGATGAATTTAATGAAGTAACATAAATCATTTTGAATCTCAATCTCATTTGTGCCTTATCATTTTTCAGTTCTTTATGAATTTGTTATCAATTTTTTAATTTATAGCGAATTAACCAAAATATTCATTCAACTTTATTATAAATGAAATTTTAGGCGAAAGCTATTAAAATTTTATATTTCAAATAAGAAATGTTTTAATGAGACGGATCACTTCATTTCAAGACTCTGTTTTTTGGGCAAAATTCCTTTATCTATCATATCGTAGACCATAGCAATCAAAGATTCCTTAGGATCAACGAAAGTAAAGTTGAATGTATTTTTGACCTGAATTTTTTACAATTATTCGTAGAATAAAACTATTTTTATTGCATCTTGTTTCGCATCCAATAATGCTGAATCGCAAGAGTAAATCTGTCCAAAAATCCGGGTGATGCTGGCAACTCACCTGTGCTTCTATCGCCAAGGGACTCCCTGGCATATTTATCCAGTGCGAAAAGCCAACAGAGCGTGTTTAACCAGTAATGGTGAAGACCATTAAGACTTAAAAAAAAATATTTTTAACCAAATATAAAAAGTTAATGAAAAAACAACCTTTGAAGTATCGAATTTTTCTTTATGACCATGCAAATACAGAGCTTGACGGGCTGCTATATCAAAAAATGAATAGAGCCATAATAAAAGATAAGGTGCTTTAAAACGTGGTATACGATATCCTAAACCTATAGAATGTTCAAGAGAGTTAATTTTAACAAATGAATAATTATTAATGGAATACAATTTACTAAATAAGAATTTCGAAGTATTTGATGGTGAATTCTGTATATTGCAGATGTGTCATGAAACATTATCCCAATTAAAAAAAAGCTTAATGTTACGGTGAAATTCAATAAAGTTTTTCTAAGGAACTAATCTTGAGAGCTAAATTCCTTGCGTAGAATTTCAGCGATCTCTTTAAAAGAGTAAGATTTCGCTGATAGCAAAATTCGTTGCCCATTGCTTTTCGGTTCCTTTAATGCACGAATATGGATTGTAGCTACATCATCAACATCCACAAAACCACAATTAATCTTTGGTAAGGCCAACATAGAGCCATCAACGAATCGACTTATAAGCTGAATCCCGATTAAATTTTGTATCAGTATTATTATCAATTATTTAAACGTGGTGAATCTTTCATTTAGAGGCAGTAAAAGCGCTGACCATTTCTGCTTGCGCTGCCTCATCTGACAACTGAGAACGCTTGTGACTTTTTCTCCAAATAGCCAACTGGAGATAGAGATAAAAATAGATCCACCAAAATTTCTCATTTTTACAGGTTTACTCTTGTTAAGGAACAAGAAGCCATGGCAACTTCATTTTAGTCGAAGCAATATATAATTCGATCCCAATATTTAAAAAAAAATAATCGAATCAAATAGGTTTATAAATGAAAAAGCCAATCATTATTCACTAAATATTACCTCCGCACTTGCACCTTTTCTGTCCTGCATTAATGGTCCAACAATAATTGATGGGTTCAGCACCGTAAATTTAAAATTAATATCTAAATTGCCGAAAAAATAAAAAAGTAAACACAATGCAATTCAAAGATCCCTAAGATAAACAATTTTTTTAATTTTAATCGACTTTATTTTTTTAATAACAATAATTAATTTTTAAAAATAAAACATATATATGCATAGATAGAATGGAAGCAATAAAACCAAAACTAAAAAATTTTTTTAAAGGCGTTTTGTTTGTTTTTTCTTTTTTATCTTCTATCTTATTTTTCTTCTTTAACTTTATCTGGGAATAAAACTGTTATGATATCAGAAATCCGAGTGGTTGCCAATCTATAGCTCCATACCCTAAGTGATTATATAGATTATAGTGATTATATAAGTGATTAAAACTGGTCCTAAAACTCATGATAGGCCGGTGATATATGCAAATAAATACGCAATCCAGATGTAGTAAAAAGATCCTAGGCTTGAAAATAAGATGGAGATCTCGAGATTCTCGAGCTAGAATTGCTCGAAGGCAGCCAATGGAAATGAACAACTATCGGCTTGGCTTTCTGCTTGAGAAGTGTTGGCCACAGGACTGTTGAATATTTATGGACATTGCAAGTCAAGCGATCATTATCCACATTCTTTCTAATTATCATGTGGATGTCGGCTGCTTATTGGAGATCCGCCTTCCTCAACTCTAGTTTCCAGAAATTATTAGGTTCTACATCCACTTCAAAGGAAAATTCTGAAATATTCCAATGATCATTGTATGTGCTCCAATTTTATGCGCAAATGACAGTGATAAATTCTATACGGAATTCTAACTGCTAACAACGTAAAATCTTGGGATATTGGAAAGAGCATAGGTAATGATGTCGCCATAATTGGCAAATATGGCATCAGGGTACGATAGCGCAGTTAAGAACGTATTTTTCACAAAGAGTGTGAACTTTTTACATTCTTTCGAAGAAACATCTAATCACGTGGAATTTCCAGATAATCAACCAGATTGATTATATCGTAGTCGCCGTTGGAAGAGTTCCTATAATTGCGCAAGAACGAGCAGCCTTCATAGATCTGACCATGTTATGAATTGAGCCAAGATCTGCGCTTAAAATATTACTCGCAACTGGAAAGAAACGGCATCCCCCAAGATCTTTCAACTATCTCAAGCTAAAAGCTAAAGATTCAGGGATAGCAAAAATATTTCAAAACATTTCATTTCATACCGAATTAATGAAACTTCTCACATACAGATATCAGTGAATTTCTAGAATGGCAGATGAATAGAATATTGTTCCCAGCTAAAAATATGTCTGCAAAAATCAGCCACTTCTGTACTAGGATGTGTTAGTAGGAAATGCGCTAGATCATTTAGCCAGAATCTTTCCTCACTGTTTTTTTTTTTTTTTAAATTAGTTGAGTTTTAAAAGGAAAGAATTATTCATGGTAACATCGAAATTTTGCAATCTCATTTTCCACTTCTCATTTTTTAAATATGTTGATGAACCAGCAATATATGGACTAAGATGATGGAAAAAGGAATGGCTTTTGTAGTCAGCGAAGCTAGCCTAATCATTAATAGTGAGAATTAGAAGCCAAGGCAAATTCCAATACAACATCCATTGTTGCTTTCGTATGCTTCTGTAAAGAAAAAGGCTAAGCATCAATGCAAAAAATCTCCACCTGGATGACTTTCAATGAAATCCCATGCTGACCGCTCAGCTAGTGTTTTACTTTGATGGTAAGGATGCACGTTTTTACCGTTGAGATTCGCCCAATCCGTTTCCGTAAATATACGATTTGGTTCATTATAACCAGCTAAATTATGTTTTTTCATTAATCTTATATGAAATTTGGAAACGATTCTAAAAATCTATCTCTTCCATCAACTAATAGAACTTTAACTTAAATGATCAAAAAACTACCCTGGAACTTTAGCTTACCAAAAATTTGCATATCATATTTAAGAGGCAGAATAGTTCAAATGGTCTTGTAAAAAGGTAATGGTTCAGTTCCCTTTCCCACTACACTGAATAAATCGATATTAAAAAATTCGACTGATGGTGGCCATCACCTGTATTTCTGTCGCCAAGTGTCCAATTTTTGTCTCCCTGACAGTGGAAGCTTAATCAAAATTGATGAATACTTAATTATTTAAGGGAATATTAATTATTACAATTTTTAAAAACTTCAAAAAACTTTTTAAAAATTGATTTATGATACTATATTATTGTCTGAAGAAGAAAATTATTAAAGATTAAAGACTTCCGCATAAACTGCCATATTTTCTGCGAAAGCCTTGATTTGACTCTTGATACCTAAACAGTGAAACTAACCGTTTATGGCACCACATGAACTTGTTAGCACAACTTTTTTTACAGTTTTTGATCGGTACGCGGCTTTAAGCACATTTAATGTTCCATCAACAGCCGTTTTAATAATTGATTCATCTGCTATGATTTGGCATGGACTAGCGATATGCATTATATAAATGCAATCATTCACCACGCTGAAAAATTCAAAGTTGTAGAAAAGAGTAGCTGGACGATGGATGTTTTTAGTAAGCCATACGAATCAAATAAACCCGTCGATGATTTGAAAAATTTGAAATTTAGAATGAAAGATGCAACATAAATATCACTGACTGGTGCCAAATATTTTCATCCTCCAGTTCTGCTTCAACTATTTCAAGCTGATGACCAGCAGATTGAAAATCTTGTAGGTACCTAATTTTATTTTCATTTTTAATATTACGCACAGTAGCTTTGACTTTATAGCCTTCTTTTAATAGTAGTTTTACGCAGTGAATGGCAAGAAATCCCGATGCACCTGTCACCAATACGCCTGAAATGTCTGTGTAAAATCTATCAACCAATTTTTAAATTTGAAAATGAAAAAAGTTGCCACCATTGCTACTAGTTTCAACATCGCAAAAAAATGGAAGAGCATTAATATGAAATTATTTACTTCCGAAATTACTTCCGAAATAAATAATGAAAATAGCGACTGAGTACATGACAAATTGGAGTAATTCTTCAGTTGAAATCATCAACCATCGTGGATTTCTCCTTTTTTTCGTCCATTAGAGGTGGTTTCTGAAATTGGAGAGACCCATTCCTATTCAGATGACTCTCAGCGGGACACTTTTATCCTCATAATCAATGAAGCAAACTAAATTACAGTAATTTGTAGAAAAAGAGGGAAATCCATAATTCAAGTCAAAATATCCATCAATTTCGCTTACAGCATCAGTTTTACTGAAATTAAGAGAAATTCCCACATCACATGTTTTCTGCCTGAAAACCTTCTATCGTAAAACCTCCACGACAAATCGTTAACCACTATCGCAAATAATTTTCCTCGTTCAAAAAACTTACATTCTTTGACGTCCATCATTGCTTCCTCCATAGCCAGCAAGAAATCGCCTTTCCCCTTCTCATGAAAACGCAAAGAAAGTCGACATTACTACAGAAATAAATATGTCATTCAAAAACCGGTTCAATCAAAATTTTTCCCAACAATGAACACGACGGAACATAACCAAAATGAATCTAAAAATCCATACTTTTCCATGTCCTTCATTCACCATCAGATCACTGCAGCAAATTTCTAGTATGACTGAAGATATATCAAAAATTTAACTCAGTTTTCCACATGGTTCATTTAATATTATTTAAATTATTATGGGCAAACAACTTTCGTCGCTCAATCGCTCAATCGCTGATTGCATTCACCAATTTGGCATGTTATAATTTAAAAAGCAGTGGTTTATTGAAAATAGGCCTGTATTTTTCTTCTTGTAAACGTTAATTAAACAACTGCACCACTTTAAAATATTATGGATTTATTTTTATTTACATAACAAAGAAAAAATGATGAAACTGTGAACATAGGAAAGAAAACGTCAAATATCATATTATAAAGATTATAAAAGAATTAAAAGCAAAATCACTGAATAAACCACGCAAAAAATTCGAGCCACTAAGCACTACAAATAATGACCAAACTAGTACATATCGACTATCAATAATTTGTATAAATTAGTGGAAAAATTAAAAAAAATTTCACTGCTGTTAAAATTACCTAATAATACAGTACTTTTTGTTGGTACTCGATAACTCTGGCCAATATTCTTATGAATACCTGAGAAATTATAGATATTAAAAATATTATAGATACTATAAAAAGAAACAAAGTAGAATCCAATATGCATAAAATATTTTAAAATGCAACAACATTAAACAATTTTAAAAAATCAAAAGTTCCAAGAGTAATAAAAATATTACAAAAAATCCATTACACTTTTGTAAAAAATCCAAATTCAAAATCCAATATTATTTCCTGACACTTTTTAAGAGTAATAGAAAATATTGCAAGTTAAAAAATAACTTTTTTCAAAAAATCTAATTATATTAACCGAAACAATGATGAATAAACGAAGTTCATCATTTTAAATAAGTATTTTATAAGTTTTCAACTAAAATAACAAATGAAAAAATCATCTTCGACTATGAATCTATGCAACAAAAAGTCAAATGAATCTATATAAAATTCATATGAATTCATATGAATCTATATAATATTGCAAACTACTGACCAAAACTGTGTAAAAACTGGCGTTTATTTAATTAGCTGAAATTCAAGAGATAAATGAGCACAAATATATTCAAAATGATATATGCAACTCAATGATGCAGAAAGATCATTTTCGCCAAGTATTTTATATTTTATGTTTTTATAAGTAAAATCAACTGTATTATCTATTTGAGATTTATACCGCTTTTTTTGGAAGCATATCTACTAACTAACAAATAATCGAAAATGATCTGGAAATGATCATATATTTAAATCATATATATTTGTTCATAATTATTATAAATGGCATCTAAAAACTAAGGAAATTAAGTAGGAATAGTATGTGAATTGATTTCTAGAAAAATGAGTTGAAAATAACCCATGAAATTGAATGAAAAAGGGTAATAAGAAAAAAATACCACATACCATTCGTCCCAAACAATGTAAAAAATAAAAACACAATTTTACATAATGGATAAGGGCACATAAAAAAGAAAAAAATGCTGTTTCGGTTGAGATACATATTAATCTAATGAAATTATTACAATGAAAACCTTTCTTTTCACCTTCCTCTCATAAGATATTATATTCTTAATTTAAATATTTCAGAAAATTAATAAAAAAATTCGAACTAAAAACTGTTCCTCTATTATGAAAATAGCAAATTACGAAAAAAAAACAGATGTTAAAGAAGCAGGAAACAGTTTTTAGCACCAACTGACCATATTTTCTAAACCATTTAAACAAACAAAAAAGGTTGACCAAAAAATTTCGCCTGTGAAAATCATAAATATGAACAGTTTGCCATAATCAGGTCCATTAAAGCATATATAAAATAACCCTACAAAAAGTCTGTGTTTACGTAGATATGGAAGAATACTGCCGTGCAATTAATGGAAGACATGCGACAAACTTGCAGATTTATAATCAATAATCCATCGCTGACGCCAGTGCATTCCCCAGGCTATCAGCCTCTGTTGCTGACTGAGAGGAAGTAGTTGTATCAGATGGTATCAACGTTGCCGGCGGTGGAATACTAAGAAAACAATATTCAACAAATTTCAGCGCCACATATGGATTAATCAAATTAATTGAAAATTCATTTATCAGAATTAGAAAACATAAAAAAAAGCATTTTATGTCTCCTTTTAAAATTGAAATTTCAAGAAAAAACTGAAAATCAAAGTATGAAAAAGTTGGAAAAATGTTCGAGCGATTTTTAGCATCAGCGAAAAAAATCTGTGCAAAAAATACTTACAAAGAAGGATAAACATTAGGTGGTGCTCCATAATTAGACCATGGTTCAATGGTTGCAGGATATGGTGAAGGTATGGCAACACTTGTGGGAGCGGGAGAAAAACATGGACCTCGTAATCGATATACATTTGTTGGAGATGGTGGAGGGGCTAAAATTAACAAGTAAGCACAGCTATATATCACCAATGATTTTCATGCAATTCCATTTAAATCAGGGAAAAATCAAAATAACAAACCGTTATGTGGATAACTACTGTATGGATTTGCCAAAGGAGGATGTGCACAAGGAAAGCCGCTCTGAGCGTGAATAAAGGCTGGGTGAGATTGCGGAGGAGCATATCGTTGCAAAGGAGATGGTGAAGCAAGTCGTGCCATTTGTTGGATAAAAGCAGAAGGGTTCATGGATGAAGAAGCATCCGCTGTTGCTCCTCTAAAATAATTGAATATAACCTTCATTAAAATTTTTAACGTTTTTCCACACGTAATAAATTTTCTATTTTCTTTCAACCAGTTTATCTACATCATTTGTCTATTTTTTGAATTTATGCTTGAAATAACATTGATATCATCTATTACAAATTTTCATTAGAAATTTAAAAATACATACGAAGGCATAATAGGCATAGCAGCAACAGGCTTTATTGATGGTACAAATCCTTGCGAAGGTTTGTTATACACATTTTTCACATTAAATATACTGCTACTCTGAAAACTTATTTAAAATCCTGTTCACTTATTCATTCAAAATCCTGGAAATTTAATTTCAAATTATCAATATTCCCATTTTTTTTGCATATGATTAATATATAATATGTGAAATATTAAATACTGACTGAAGTTAAAGATAATTCATTGCTTATTTCACATTTCACATTTATTATATAAATTATCTACATTATTTACAATTACATTTGTTATTTTATAAATAATATAATTTATATAAAAAAATAATAGAATTTAAAATCTAAATTTCAAAAAGTACAGATGCTTCTGCAGTGGAACTGATGGCTTCAGCAAAACTGGCGGAATGTTCCACCATTGGTTCATTCTTCAGCTCAACTTTCAACTTTTTCTTAAAATATCCATTTAAAAATAAAATATATTTCTTCGAAAACAAGAGGAAACATGAAAAATTATTTTATCTTAAATAATTTTTTTAATAAAAACTAATTCATTTTGAATTAGATTAACTCAGAAGAAATTTTATCAAAAAATAACCGGTTTACAACAGCTAGAAGAAAGTTGATCGCCCGATGCAAGATTCGCTTTTCTACTATCATCAGATCTGGGAAGAACTTCCCCCTTGATTGACTGAATATCAGCTTTACTAGACTCATCAACAATCTCCTTTTGTTCACCTTCTGTAATGCCAAAAGGATTTAATAATAGTAAGAGATAGTCAATATTAATTAAAAAAATCAATGAATAGGTTCACAGGAAAAAAAAAATTAACTCAAATGTATTAATTTAAAGCCAATAATTTTCGGAACAGCATTCCCATTTGCACTCTTCTTTAACGATACTATCTTTTAAAAATTACATGCAGTATGGAAAATCAATTTATAACTGTTTTCTGATGGAAGATAATTAAAGGATGGTAAAGCTTCATCTTGATTCTCCTCATTTTTGCAATTATCCTTTATTAGTTTACTGTTCTTCACAGAATTATCATTGCTTTTTTCTTGCTCATCGCTAGTTTGATTGGTTTCTTCTTCTTCATCTTCTTCATCTTCCTCTTCAGGGTCGGGTTCAAAATCATCTTCATCAGATCTGAGATTATTTCCTAATATTTTAAATATTGAAGATTTGGATATTTTTCTAAATTTTTTATCTCTTTAATTCATCAATGAATTTAAAATTAACGATGTGATTATCAAGAAAAAAAGGAACATATATGATAAACAATGAAAGTTTAAATGCTTACATTGATTTTTTATTATTTTCGAGTTGATTACTATCGGTTTCACTTGAAATCACATCATCAAGATCATTTTCATTTTTCTTTTCCATAGTATTGCGCGCAGCTTTTCGTAGAGGCCTAATATTTTAAATTTTAAAGAAGCTGGATATTTTTTTTACATTTTCTATTCTTTTAATTCATCGCTTCTTTCACAACAATTTTATAATGGTCCCGAATTATGAAATGAAATTACATTTCTGCTACTTCCTGTAATTTCTCAACTTTTTTCCTCTAAAATAATTTTTTTTTGAAAATTTCTGAAATGTTTTCATTATGGGAATACTGGCATATTAGAAAAAAGTTAAAATAATGAAATGAACTATATATATATAAATGATATATATTAAAATATATAATGAAATGGTATATATTAAAATGTATAATTCTTATGTGAAACACCAATAATAATAATTTTGAACTTAGAAAGAAACCTTCCAGCTTCACTTTTCTTTTTTTTTGATTTCGAGTCACCACTTTTTTCATCCTCGTTGTCTTCCTCTTCGATGCTATATTCCGAACTACTAGCACGCGGAGCCCATTTAAACTGCACAATTGATGATTTTCTCTTATGGCGATCATTGTCACTACTTTCCTCACTGTCATAATCACTTGGTTCTTCGCTCGTTGAATCATCGTTTGAACTTATCCTTCCACGCCTCTTAAACTTTTTCCTATTTTTTTTATTTTTTTTTTTTGAACCCTTCCATTTTTTCGATTTTTTTGCCACAGGTTCATAATCGCTCTCTGATCCAGATACAACAAAATCGTCATCACTTTGAGTTCTACCTCTTCGTGGTCTAAAATAATAATTTTGTTATTTCAAAATAAACACTATGAATATGAATGAAAGAAAATGAAAAATTAAAAAATTAAAGTTGATAAAAAATATTTGAAGTCCTTGTAAAAAAATAAAACAACTAGAGGAGAATATAAAAAAAAATGGAAAATGGAACTTATCTTTTTCTTTTTTCTTCTTCCGAAGGTAAATATTCATCCGAACAATCTGAAGGATCTGATATGTCTGATCCACTTCTAGAAATAATGCGTAATTTTTAAAAAGTAATTTAAAACAATCAGAAATTAGAAAATAATCAGAATTAAATAAGAAAGATAAAAGAAAGGAATATAAAAATATTTACTGGCTAGCTTGATATTCTTCAGAATCAGAGTCAGTAATATCATCGATATCTAAACTATTTAGACGTCGATGACGCACTGGTTTCCCGAATTTCGATTTCCGTAATCTGAAAATCATGTAACTACAATATATTTCAAAATTTCAAAAGATATCGTTTTTTAATAAAATCGGAATAAACCATCTGTGACCAATCATATCTTTAAAAAATGAAAAAAAGAATGGAAATTTGAAATATTTTGTGCAGTTAGGCAACTTATTTCAATTTTTCGCACAAGCATTTAAGTGATAACCAAGAAATAACTGAAGCGAAATCATAAATAGAAAAAAACTGGACCTCTCAGCATCTTCATCGGCCACACTACCTCCTTCACTTCCTAGTCTATTAATTTCAGCATTTATTATGTTTGAGATGTCTTTTCCACGACCTGCTCCACCTTTTGGCCGAGATCCATCTATATTAAATTTGAATTTTGACTTATGATTTACAAAAATTCATAAAACTGCGAAAAATAAGTAATCAGTAATAAGTAAAAACAAGTAATAAAAATTAAATTAAACAACCTCCGACCACACGTTTCGGCACCAATTCATCGGCATTTTCTACTGCTTCCTGAAAATAATAAAAATGTCAAAAATTAAGTGACAGATAAATTTCCACGAGTACTGAAGAAAAACTAATCACTTGAGAATTCACATATATTATTATTATATTATTTTCATATAAATTCATATATATATACATTGGTTCGAAAAGTTTCCACATCCTAGAAATTAACACCTTCAAAATTGCTTAAAAGTCATTTCAAAATTCTTTTAAAACTTAAGATTAAATTATTTTACTTGAATAAGATCATCATATGCAACAAAATTGTAATCAATTTTGGCCACATGTCGTCTTGTTCGACCAAGTGCGATTGGAACCACAGGGTAACAGATGGGACCCATTTTCCTATAATGCAAAGCAAGATTATTTCAGGGGCCTAAACCTCGGCATATTTAAACAGAATTTGAAGATGGCACATACTTAAGAGCCCTTTTTTTCGATTTTCGTATATTTTCTTTCATACCAATGTCATCATCATCATTATCATCATCATCATTAACATCATCATTATCATCATCTGAACTTTTGAAGCTCCTTTGCTTCTCGCCAATCAAAAAAAAAATTATATATAAAGGTTTCATAAAGAAATAAAGAAATAAGTTTCATGTGCAAAAAAATTTTCGTTTTGCAAAGATTAATTACCTTTGTTGGTATGATGTTGTTGATGGAAACACCAATATATTCCATTTCTCGCTTCAAACGTTCAGCAGCAGCTTGTTTTCTGGAGTAATACATTTTATATGGCTATAATCAAGGACAAATAGAATTAAAAATATTCTTTAAAAAGAATTTACTGATTCAATATTATTGTAAAAAAAGTTTCACTTTCTATCATCTGCAGCCTTTGACTTTAGTTGATCGTTCAGTTCGAGTAGAACAAAGGAAAACTTTTCCACAAGCAAAAAGTGATGACATTTTGGACAAAACCAATCTCCATCTGGCACAAACCATAGCATTGGCCGTAAACACCATATGTGCCATGCATCATCACACATATCGCACAGCAATAGCTAATAATAAATCAATTGGACAAAATATGATTTGAAATCGAACAAAAAGTACATTTCGGAATTTTTTTTTGACTTATTTTATTCATCTTTCAACACAATTTTTGTAAAAGAAAGATAACAATAAAATTAAGTATAATCTTCATTTATAAAGAGCTTTACAAAAATATAAAAATCCTACGACTTCTGGATTACTGCTTTTATGACATTTCATGCATTTCGTTTCTTCCGTAGCCTTCCGCCTTTGCTTTGCTGCATCTCGATCTGATTCAGAATCACTTTCATCAACATCATCGATCCCTTCATCACCATCAGTTTTCTTTTTATTACTAATTGATCGCTGTTTCTGACTGAAAAATTGAATGAATTATGATACACTAAGTTTGAAATCCATTCAATCACGCATAATCATCTGATCATTCCAGAACCTCTTGCAAGCCTTTTTTATCTCTGATAAAGGTTTGAATTCGTCATCAGAAGATGAATTCGATTCACTAATCTCGTCTGATACAAAAAAATCATCCTTTATTTCTTCTTCATCTATGTCTTCATCGCCATCATTACCCTAAACCAATAAGTTTAAGCTAACATATCAATAAATTTTATCCATATCACTAAATAAATAAGATGAAAATGCAACAGAAATGACGAAATAAACCATTTGTAATTCAAAATTGTGATAAAGATAATCCGAAATCCTAGAAAAGAATTAAGATTACTCACTTTGGGCTGCGAGTCTATATTGACCTTGAAACAACTCTCGTTTTCTTTCATTTTTTTTGAACCTGGATTACTGGAATGTTTACTATTTATATGATCGTTTTTGTTGTTCGACTTATTTTTTGCACCTGTCAGTTCTTTTAAATGAGATATAGCTGCATTGCGTGCACTTCTACGAGGTAAAATACGCCGCTCCACCTGAATTCAAATGCTTTCAACTGAGAATGAAATAGAATACAACTTGGATATAAACATAATTTTTCATATAATATACCACTACAAGATTTTAAAAGTAAGATCAAAATCCAGAAGAATATATAATAAACTGATAAAAAAAAAATGAAATGAAATGAAAAATGAAATGAAAAATGAAAAATGAAAAAATGAAATGAAAAAATGAATAAATGAAAAATGAAAAATGAATAACATACAAATTCGGAATCTTTATAAATAAAATCAGAATCAGATATGTCGAACTTTTCTTCAGAAACTTCCTGAATTTTCTCTTTTTGTTTGGGAGTTTCTCTTTTAATTTCTTTTTCATTATTGATAGTTTTCTAAAACAGGAAAAAAACAGTTAAGAAAAAATCAACTACAGATTCAATTTGGAAAATTAGAACAAAAAATGGCCAAAGAAAATTTTAATTTTTTTCGGCAGCATGGTTAATAAATAAGAAAAACTTACAAGTGCAGTAAATTCACTTCTGAAAGTATCGAGGAAAGTTCCTCGCTTATTGGAAAACTGTGGATTTATTTTGCTACTTTTGGTTGAATCGGATTTGTAGGCAATATAGGCTTTAAAAAAAGTAAAATTTAAAGTAACGGAAATCTCAATTAAAATATCCGAATATCCGAAGATCCGAAGATTCAAAAAATACAAAAGATTTAGCAAAAATAAAGAAAATTATGAAAAATTATAAAAACTTATTGTTATAAAAACTAACTTTCCAAATTAATTCCGATTTTTTTTCTTTCTTCTTCGGAACAATTTGACTTTAATTTTTCGATTAAAAATTCAAATTCTTCTTTTGAACTGAAAAATAAAAAAGTATTTATACTTATATTTAAATACACTTGTATTGTTATTATTATATATTGTTACCTTTATTTAACCAGGAAGCTTAAAAAACTTAATTATTCTTAAAAACTTTAAAAAATTAGCAATTCTGGTAAGTTAATTTGAATTTACAGAAAGAAACCATTCAATAAAAATTATTAGTCATTAAAACTTTGAAATAATTGGAGAAAAAAATATGTAACATAAATTTTACAAAGTGCAAGAAAAGCGATGTTTAAGAACAAGTAAACCTTGCAACAAGAACCCAAGAGCCACCAGACTGATCATCTTGTTCTTCGCAGTAAATTCTCACGTTTAAATCTGCATCTTGCTGGTACCAGTATTCCAAACCATCACCATCCACTCCAACAGGCAAAAGACGAAGGTCATTTGCAGAAGACGAATTTACGATCTTACAAGAAAAAAAAGAAAATTTTGAAAAAGGACAAAATATTAAAAATCATAAACAAAAATTAATACATTTAAATAATCAGAATGGAAACTAGACTTATCGCAATTCAATTCCCAATATACGTTTTCCAGTAAAATAAGATAATATGCAGACATCGATTTGCATCTGTAAGTTTATAACATGAAGAAAGCAATAAAAAAAACCAACATTTTCTTTAAATTTAAGATTATAATCAAATTGGCTTTCACAAAGAGTTCGCAATATGGCCAATTTCGTACTGACTGGCGTATTTAAATATCCATATCGCTCCAGTTGAAGCATTTCAGATTCCAGTGATGGGACCACAAGACAGAATTTCGTTAAATATTTTTCCCAACCGTTAACACGTGCCGATTTGAAATTCAATTTGCGTAGTAACGTTAAATGTAAATCAATCAACTCGCGATCAACTAAATGACATGAAAAATACAAATGCAATATGATTAATGATTTCACACCATAAATCAATCTCAAAAATGCATGATTTAAAACCGATAAAAAACCGTCTAATAATCTCAGTAGAAATTTTTCAATTAAAACCAAAAATTCATACTTCTTCCGGTATCATGAAAGTTTGTGAACATTTCTCCCAATTTGCTAAAATATATCGGCTTCATTCCAAGTAAAGAACCGAATTTATTGAAGAAACTACAAACAACTGCGAATGACGGATCTTTATATAATTCCTGCATTGCTCTTTCTTGAGAATTTCCTGACTTGTTGGGTAATGTCGATTTCTATAACGTAATTCATGAAAATTCACATATTTAAGAGGAAGAACATATATCATATATAGGACAAATTTAATAAATCATGCAGAAAGAAAAATGATAGGATATCTAAAACTAGTAAACAGAATTAAATAATGAAAAAAATGGAAAAAATTAATGAATTAAAAAATGGATTCAATCTCTGATAATTTTCCTAAGGAATTCATCTTTTCTGATGATAAATTTAAATTTTACATTTAATAAATACCCAAAAATTAAAACAATTGAAATTTCAACCATTTCTTTTTTCGATGGTAAATTAGGAATTGATTAAATTAAAAACCAGAAATAAAAAGGATCATTAGGATTTAAAAATTAAGAAATCGATGCCACATAAAAATATTAAAGAATTGGCTAGAAATTACAAATTTTTTTGTTTAAACAAAATTAAAACTTGAAAAAAAGATCAGCCAAAAAATAACTTCTTATTCATTTGTTTAATAAATGATCAACAATGGTATTTCTTGCAAAAATTGAACTTTATTCTGCACAAAGAACAAAGAATATATAATAAAATAAATGTCTCATATATAATAAAGTAAAAAAAAAGAATAAATATCTGAACGTAAATATAACCTGAAAGCTTCAAGGAAAGTAATAAAAAACTTACTTCATTATGTAAATTTGAATATTCGTCTAATGGACTGTGTACATCTGTTATATCATCCACTGCAGCAACATTATTTCCAGGTTCCTCATTCATTTCTGTAACACCTTGTTGCACCTTGCCCTTCACTATCAATTTTTTCCTCTTCTTGCAATGAAAGGCTAAAAGAAAAATTGATGAAGATACTTCATAAAAATTCATAAAAGTTTTCCAAATTGCATATTCTTATGAATTCCACAAAATATGATTCGCTAAAAAAGAAGTGAAATATGCAGTATGGAAAATCGCAAGTATCCTGTACCATATGTCATTGCTAGCCATCATTCGCAATAAACAGAAGGAAAGACGACGGTATTCTCAAAGACGATTAGTAGTGGGATTAAGGGAAATGACAGAAGCAAGCGATTTACACTATCGCATTTATTTTCAAAACAACCAATAAGAAATGAAACACATTTGGTATATATGTTAAAAAAATTTTTCTTTTATATTCACATGTATTTTTAAAAAAAAAATGAATAAATGAATTTGATCGAATAGTTCTACTCCATTATTCAGTGCAACGGTAATAAGCACATACGATCAATAAACTACTCAGCAATAATCCATTGTTATGGATTTAAATCGACTATATGTGCACTAATCAACTTACAAAGACTGCTAGGTATACATGTAGCAGCGGCATTAGCAATTTCGCACACAAACGTGCAGCTGCAGCGTCAGCGATTCCGCAGGCAAACGTGCAGCTGCAGCGTCAACGATTCCGCAGGCAAACGTGCAGCTGCAGCGTCAACGATTCCGCAGACAAGCGTGCAGCTGCAGCGTCAGCGATTCCGCAGGCAAACGTGCAGCTGCAGCGTCAGCGATTCCGCAGAGACGGTTTTATGCCAAAATTAAATTATGGAATGCGAAGAGAAATTTCGAAATGCAAATCGAAAGATTCACTTGAACATTTCGTTGAAAAAAAGGACTACGCAACGCTTTCTTTTCTCAAAAAAATTTGCACTTCCGCAGCCGAAATCAGCCGAAATCGGCGAATTTTAAGTTCGCTGCACAAATAATTCTAAAAAACTGAAATCTATAAACTTACAATTTTCTTCAAAGAAAAACGATCACTCAAAAATTTTTTCCCAATTCAGCCAAATTCTCTAATTGGAGGTGAAAAAATCGAAGAAAAATCTATTGGAGAGTTGCCAAACATTCAAATTTTCGCTGTATAACCAAATAAAAATTTCGGAGCGCTAAAATTTTGTCATTTGAATCGTTTGCGACTCGATTGTTATCGTGAAAAGTGCCCTGTATTATTTTTATTTCTCCTTCTTGTAATGGTACTTAGAATTGTCTGGTCGAGTTTGGATTTTCGAATTTTTGATGGAACCTTCTCGCCAGAATTAAGTCCAATAAACCCGTGTTTCAGCGTTCCTCGTAACTTTAGTTTTACTCTCGCAGTCTCCGAATAAGCGTCGAACGTATTGCGCTCGGCTTTTGTCGTTCGAGCACTATGAGGAATTGCGCAGATAAATATTGCTAATTTTAAAGTTTCTAATCGAAAGAATAAATTGATTAAATTATTTTCCTCTTTTAGAATATTTATCATGCAAATCGCGGGGATTTCCTCATTCACCTGTATCGCCGATCTATTGCGCATCGCAAATCTGCGATTTAGCAGTAGCGCAAATGGGACTTCTCTCGTTTCTTCTTTTTCTGCTCTTAGCATTAGTGGTTAGGTCTGCTGCGCTGGCTGCAAGGATAAGGCTGTTCGATCCATCGCTGACGCAGTTCCTTTCTTTGCCGTCTAAGTCCATACTTCTTCATTTCATTTCTATTCATTGGCTTAGATCCTTGGCCCCGCAACTGATGAGCGTTTATAGAGAAAGAAATAAGGGATATCGGTTTCCTTCTTAGCTTTACGTCTTATGAAAAAAAAACCTATATATTACGTATTACTCACTTAAAATTTAGTGCTTATTTCGTAATTGTCCACTTTTCTCCGCTGCTTTTTCATTATTAACGAAAATTATTAAACCCAAAATTTTGTTCCGTAAATCTAAAATTATTTTAAGAGAGTTTTATTGTTCCTTTATTTTTGAAAGATCTATTGCGCAGATGGTCTTCAGTGTTAATTTCGTCAATTTTCATTTTTCATTATTTTTCGTCATTTTTCATTTTTTATCATATATTTAATCGGAAATATGAAAAGGGATAAGATGACTTAGTGGGTTGTTGCTCAATTTGGAGCAGCCGAAGCTGCTGTTCGATTCCTCACAGGAGTAAACCTGTGCAAAAATCCAGGCGATGCTGGCGACTCACCTGTACTTCTGTCGTCAAGGGACTCCCTGGCATATTGCTCAGTGCGACAAGCAAGTGGAGCGAGTTTAACCAGTAATGGTGAGGACTCTTAAGAAGAAGAAGAAATATGAAAAGGATAGCTCTCTGATGTTTCATTGGTCAACGTTCGTAGACATTTATTAGGATTGTATTTGTGTATACTATAGGCAATTGCCAATTTTTATTTTGTTGTTTTATGGCTGATTTTGAGGCTATTCCAGAGGTTTAACCGGAAGAAGGCACTTTTGGCTACAGCTGCTTGAAATGGGATTTCATCTTTCGCTCTCCCATTAGGTATGAGAGTGGATCAAGCATAGGCTGATATATCTTTAACTGTTGATAAATTCATATTGCGTTGTTATTGATGCAAAGCAAAAAGATTTACATTGATTTAAAGGTCAGTTTCCGCTGTTGTTATTAACATCCGGTCAACCATCTGTTAAAGTTCCTTGTAATTATCAGTAAAAAGAACAACATCATCAGCTCATTCAAGATTCTTGGTATTATCTTCTAGATTGATTTCTATACTTCTTGAGGGCCGATAAGGGGTATAACTCAATTCTATTGCATAATTCTTCCGGTTGAAACCTTTATGGAACCGTCGCGATATCACCATAAAAATAAAAGTCTAGGTCCATATAGCTTCATTTCGCTCGATCCTGATATATGACTGCGAGACATGACCAATGAGAGTGGAGGATATTAAGAGGTTATCTTATCTCATATCTATGATATGTTTTAGGGATTTGCCCAGCGGATAAAATCTCCATGATTTCATCCACCTTCGCTCAGATAACATTGCATTAAGATACTATCAGAATGTCGCCTTCGCTGATTAGGGCACGTTCTTCTCTTACTTGACAAATCGTGTGATGGATGGCGTCAAAAGGGAGGAGGGCCGATAAGACCTGAAAAGTCTGGAAAGATTTTGAACTATTGGTGGATTAACGATATGTGGACGTAGATGATGGAAAAAGAAATGTTTTCTATTATTGTCGACGTTGGCATCAGATCGAGCTTAGAAATATTTTACCTCTGCAGTCAGGAAAGCCAATCTAACCAGTTATAATGAGAGCTATTAAAAGAATCGCTTATTTCAAGATTGTAGAAGAGGAAAAACAACCTTGATGCACATCGTTTAATTTGTCAATACCCTATGCACACAAACTTGTGCTAATGTGCATCGATAAAATGTTTTGTATCAGAACACTATCATGTTCTATGACTTATATAGGGCGCCGTCCTTTTGATCGAATCAAAGGCAGACAAAGTAGATGGCACACGAAAGGTTAGGTTGCCAGTTTTTGAAGCATTCTCAATATAGAAATTAGTTATGTCCTGATATATATCGGATTGGTTAGGACTCCTCGTATTGTTACATATTTCCGTGAGATTATTTAACAGAAGTGAGGCAAAATTATCTAGAAATATTTACTGACGTAATTCCTCGATACTTATGGTATCATCTTTTGATGATTATGAAAGAAATGCGATGCCTTATTCCACTCTCACAGTTTTTGCTTTTCCTCCCGCACAGTGTATATAATTTTTGCAGATGTTTTGTGAAAGAAGCTGGGCAGTATTTGAAGAGTTTAACTCGCCATCTTCTCCACTGGTTTTATTGGTCTTATGGTTTTGAAACTACAGGGACTATCGCGTTTTATTGGTGGTTCTCGACTTTACGGTTGTGAATGCGTTCGAACCACATTCGGAATGTTCAATAGTTATTTTTAGATTCAAGGAACCTTTTATCGTCGAAAGAAACGATCTTTGATTGTTTTAATGGCTGAACTCTGGTGAAAGGGTCAGATACACTTCATACGGCACCCGCGTCTCCTGACTTCGAACCCGGTGGTACATGCGATAAGTATACAATCCGGGCTTAAAGCGATCCCAAGGATGGTAAATAAAATGTGCTCTCAATTCAGGATAATTGTTCGAAATCTATCAAGAAGGGGAACAGCCCTCTGCACGCGCGGCGAAGTATTAGCCGTATTAGCGTGGAACGTTAGAACGCTTATTGACGTCGCAAGCCAAGCGATCATTGTCCACACCCTGTCTAAGTATCGTGTGGATATCGCTTGCTTGTCCGAGGTCCATCTTCCTCATTTAGACTCTCGAGTTATTACTAATCCTGGCTCGGATCAGAGGTACTGGCTATATCACTGTGATGCTTCGGATAACTCGGGGCAAAATAGCGATTGTCAGGTCTGACAAGGCCCATTCCACTTTGATTGAGTGGAAACCGGTAAACGACCGTATGGCCTATGCCCATTTTAAGGGTAAGTTCTGCAGTATCTCGGTCATCAGTGTCTATGCTCCAACGCTGTTGGCAGATGACCATGGTAAAGACAAGTTCTATGTGGAACTTTAACTGCTAACGAAGTTTCTACCGAAACATGACATGATCATAATCGCGTAGATCATAATGAAGCTGCGATGACCTCAACAATTGGGAAATATGGCATTGGAGATCGGTATGCCAATGGGGAACGTCTTCTTCCTTATGCCGAAGAGCGTAAACTTTTTGTTACTAATACTTGCTTCCGGTATCATAAAAAACATCTAATCACGTGGAACTCCCCGGACAACCAATACTTCAACCAGATTGATTATATCTGTCGGTCGTCCCAGTTCCTTACTAGATAGTCGTTCCTATCGCGGAGCTGAAACGATCTTCATGGATTTGGCAATCTTCATGGATTTGACCATGTTATGGTTCGAGCCAAGATCCGCATAAAATTGACAACTCGCAGAAAACAGCGTCCCCCCAAGTTCCTTCAACTATTTCAAACTAAGAAATTCGGGGAATGAGCGCATTTCAAACCGAATTATTGAAGCATCTCAATGATACAAATATCAATGATTTTTCTGGAACGGCAAATGAATTCTGGTACAAACAAAAGGAATGTCTCCGAAAATCAGCCACTTCCACGCTAGGGCATACTAGTAGGAAGTGCGCTAGTTGGGTATCGGAAGCAACTGTCCAATTGTCTGAAAAAGCTGCCAAAGCACGAATGTCAGGTGATCCTGACTACCAGGTGCTTCGAAGATTTGCAGCGAAAGCAGCAAGGCGTGATAGAAAACTCTATTGGAGTGACATGGTCTCAAGAATGGAGGTGGCGGCTCGATTAGGCGACAATAGGAAACTATTCTGCTTTTTTCATAAGCAACTATGATTCGGGGAACTATCAATGGAATGGTAAGAGACAGCAATGGCGTACTAATCAAAAGTATTAAGGATCGCCTGTAAGATGGAAAGAATTCTTTAAAGCCAAATTTAACCATTAAGCGCCATCTGTTGCACCTGATATAGCTGATACGTTTGTCGAAGCATACGTTTACAATTGCGAGCCTCCAACCGAAGAAAAAATAATTTCAGTTATCCATAAGCTTAAGGCCAACAAAACTCCAGGATAAGGTGGTCTTCTGACTGAGCTTTTTAAATGCTGTCCATTGTCCTTCATAAGGCACCTTTAACAAATGTACTCTTTAGTATGAAAAAAAGAAATATTACCAGATGATTGGAGCAAAATTATTCTGCTCCCAATTCTCAGGAAAGGTGATAGGACATACTGCGACAATTATCGAGGAATCAGCCTATTAGACGTCTCAGCAAAAATTTTTGCTTCCCTACTATTCAACAGACTTATGGAAGTGCGAGACAGCAGGATGCGCCCTAATCAAGCTGGTTTCAGACCAAGGCGCGGTTGTGCTGACCAGATATTCAAGT